ATAAGAGGAAAAAAAGTGGAGATGGGAGGGAAAAAACCCAAAGAGAAAGGGAAGGATTCAGGTCAGTGGGATAGCACTGCAAGGGTCTGTGCTTCTGCTACAATTCTGATCAGAAAGCCTGGGTTTGTGTTAATATTGCTATAAGGAGGGACAGAGAATGTACAGACGGGCATAATATGCTTTGAGTGGGTAGGAGGGAGCTGTCTGTCCCTTCGCTCATTTTATCAAATCCGTCAGCTCTTGTATCTCTCATTGAAAGCTTATAGAGCTTTAAGGAAAGTAAATGTTTGGTCAACGAGTCTGTGGTTCTGTATTCATGAACAATGCCAAGAGTTCACACTTCATTTTAAAAATCCGAACAAAATACTTTTCCTTCTGGTATTTCTAGGACCATTTAAAATCAAAACTAATAGAAATGCATTTATATATCTGTCTGAAAGTGTTAGGGAACATTTTCTTATTCTGAAACGTGACGGGAATAGTGAGAGAAGGGGCTCTTTCATGCTTGCTTTTTAATTTAGGCAAGTTGTCTTCACCAGGGTCACCATGCAATGTGGTAATCTTGGAGGCAGCAAGGTTTGGGATGTGGAGGCTTGCAAAGATCGGGCCAGATCACAAAATGTGCTTGAGAGCATTGGTAGCTTCAAAGCATTCTCAAAGACATACATCTCAAAGATATTCTCAAATATCTTACAGACATTTCCTAAAGTATTCTGATTTTTTTCTTGATACACATTTTTCACTAGGTTTTCTATTTGGGGAAAGCATGTATTTGTGGTTGTAACTGCAAGCTGAAAGAACAGAAGAATTTAGCGAGCTGCTCTGTTCCAGCTGTGCAATTGCTTATGCTTGCAGTGGAAATAATTGTGCAATGTAAAGAGTGGGCTCTGGCTCTGCGAGAGCTAAAGGTCCTGTCACTGTCAAGACAACTTTTTACTGCTGACAGCAAGCAATAATAGATGACCAAATGTACTTTTCCTAAATACTCCACTGAATTATTTAAAAAAAAAAAAACACAACATTTTTTGGTCTGCTTGTTAATTTTAAAGGCACTCTTTTTTTGGGATTGTTTTCAGCCTTGACTTGAACTCTCACTAGCCTGCGTTAGCTTGAGCGACGTTCCATGTTAGATACTTCTGTGCTTTTGTGCCTAAGTGAAAGGTGACTTTGAGCGTCTTGTTCTGTGTGTGTAAGAGCATGAATTAATCCCTTTAGTTAGAGTGAAGTTTATTATTTTTCAGTTTAACCATATTCTGTTACCTGTTTTGGACCAGTAAAGCAGGATGTTAGAGAAGCCCAGTGGAATTGGGAAGAGAAGTTCATTTTCAGGGTGGATTGTTTATTTTTTTGGTACAATTCCTCTACTTTAAGGTCAAGGGCAGGTAAGAATTACAAAGTTAAAGTGTTGGTTTGGAAGTCGAGTGAGCAGCCAAAGAAAAGCCATATATTTGCACCTGCCCCATTTGCGAAAGGCTCTGCTACCCAGCTCTTCCGTAAATCCCATGTTACGTAAAGCTGCTGATCCTTTCGTGTCTTTAATTTTTGCAGCCTCGCTATAGTTTCATATAAAACTTGTGACACTTAACAAACAGAACAGAACTATTAGGTGAGGCTGATTGAAATTATAGGGCTGAAGTTAAATCCTGGTTTTATCTGGGGAAGCATGGTCATACTGATTAGAAAGTCTGTTTAAGCCACTTGAATCCACTCTATGGACTCTATCCTTTATTATGTTTGTTTGTATCTGTCTTTCTATCAACATGTATTTTGAGAAAATTTCTTCCCCTGCGACCTTTCTCCCCTATGTTAAAGGAAATGGGGATATCTGTTTTTATAAGAGACTGTGAATACTGTGGAAGAAAAAGATTTTGCAAATGCAAGCAAAAGCCAAGGACCATAATCAAACTTGCCACTCTATTTGCCCGAGTTGGGCTCTTACGGAACAAAATATTTATCAGTAATGCTGTTTGTCAGAAGTAGAAAGGGTGACATCAGTCATAGTTCTTCAGTTAGCACATTTTTAAGCTAAGACAGAAATATAATAAATTTATCAGTCTTCAGTAATGCCTGAGGAAATGTAATTTATTACTGTTTTTTAATGTCAGTTCAGTTGGATTTTCCTATCTGGATACACCTGAGATTCATGATAAATTGTGTTATCTTATGAATAACATGTGATTAGTTAAGTGATATCTTTAGTAAGCTGCAGTAAGTAAGCAGCTGTCTTTGGCTCAGCAGATTAAACACAAGGTACTATGCCATTGAGTCTACAGAAACAGCTTTACTTCCAAATCCCTTAATTAAAAAAAAAAAAGGGTGGGTGGGTGGTAAAGATAAAGATGGCAATTCTCCCCTTCTACTCTCATCCATTTGTATCTTAATTTCAGAAGCTGTCCAGTAATTCAAATAGAAACTGCAAAATAATAATTTTGTTCAGGGTAAACCCTGCAGATATTAAGAAGAGCTTGTTGCTCATTCCTTCATTTAAAGTTCAGTCAGATGGTTTAATTTAAGACTGGGATCTTTTCCCTGTTCTTGCTTTTATTCTCATTTCTTCAGTGACTGATTATATAGCTAGTTGTGCCACAATAACAAGCTAGGCAATATTTAATGAAATCTAAGATGGTTATTAATGTTAGCATGTATTAAGTGGAAAACATGAAAAAATCTTTTTTAGCATTAGATTGTTCTTTTAGTTTTCAAAGTCCAGACAGATTTTTTTTTTTTTAAAGTGATTTTAAACACGTATTAAGTAGACTGTGCATGAGGGACGAATGGATAAAGAGAAGCCTAAAGAAGCAAAATGGTTCTTAGTTTTGAAAAATGGCCTTTTCCTGGCTTCCAAGTATCCTAACATGTTTTCTAGCTATAGGGAGAAATATGAAGGCAGTAATTGGTAGCAAGTAAACATACCAGTGTGACATTCAGTTTAGAGCCAATCACCTGGTTTGCAAAACCCAAATAGTTTGGCATAATGCTAGTGGAAATGAATCTGCCTTTAATAATCTTCCATTATTGAATACTGAAGCCTGGAGTCCTTGGGATCTGCACAAACAGGACGTGACAAAGAGGAAAACCTATACTAACTGCGATTTTTATAATGTTTGATGTCTTATCTCTCCAATTTATCGATCTGATGTTTTTCAAACTATGCAACTGGAAACCAAGCGCAGTGTATGTAGCTGTCGCTGCTATAGTCGTGAATTGGGATTGGAGTATTTTTAAGCTTAACTGAGTTGGTTTTAATCTGGCTAGTTGCAGGGAATGGAGCAGCAGCAGTCAATCTGTGACCTTGTCAATGGAAATTCATAAATACCTGGGTTTGTCAGCCCCTGCTGATGTTGGCATGTTGTCCGTTTTACCTCTGTGAAAACCAGCTCAGCTTCTTCATTACATCCTATAAAAATGCTTCCCACTTCTTTGTGAATGAAAGCTTAATTATAAATAGTTTATCAAGCAGGAAGAGACAATAGGAAAAGTACATAACCATTCGCATGAAACCAATAGGGAAGTGTAAAAAGCAAAAAGTATTTTATGCAAGTATTGCTTTTTTTTTTTTTTTTTGGTAGGCAGTATAGTAAAGGCAGATTATCACTAGGAATCTAAAGGTTTGGTATAAGATAACATATACCAGAGTTATTTGGTCTTCTCCAGAGTGTCTACTATAAAAGGGAGTTCTTTTGAAGTGCACTGGAAGGTGTGCAGTTGACAACATACAATGAAACAGGGAAGCCGGTACTGTTCTAAGTTTTAGGCTTTGTTGTAAAACAGCTTGTATGTGAGAATGATGGGCTTGTTCAGTTGCTCGCGGTTGTTCTGAAGTTTGTAGTTCTGAAATAAATGAGAAAAAATACATCTAAGACCTGCAGGTAATCAATAGGACAGGCTGTGATGTGGTTCTGACAGTATGTATCGTATAGTTCCAAAACAAATACCGTAGGACAAGAGAATTTTGCTTACTCCTGTAAAAACAAAATGTAGCATCCTTCTGCAGTTTGATGCTGACTGTATCTCAGAACACCCAAGATCCCTATAAAATCCTGACAACACCCCTGAAGGTCATTTATGGAGGTCACCTCTTTTTACCTCCCACACTCCCTAGAGAAATTCTGGTCTACCCACTCCTTCATGGCCACCCACCCGCAGATCAGCTGAGAAATCATACTTTGTTAAGAAAAACCTTTGTTGAGAATGTTATTTTTGTTCTTTGTTCTCTTTCCTTCGTTTGAAAGATGTCTTTTGTTCGCTGCGGTTCAAATACCATAGTTTAAACATACATCATTTGCAGGATATAGAAATTAAAACTGAATATGTGTATTTTACCTGAATTTAAAAAATGAGATTGGGGACTTGTCATTGTTTACATACATGTATTTTATTCTGATTTGTGTTTCAAGAAGTAAATTAAAATTAGACTAATCACAGGAACATTTTTATGCCAGCACTTTTAGATGGATCGACTGTTCTTTGGTTTTTGAAGCCTATAGGGGCCTTACAGTCTTCCCCAGTCAAATGCAGATGTGTTTAGAGTAAGCATTGATTAGGAGTGATTCTTAAATCTACACCTTCATATGCGATAGGAATATAAACATTACTGTAATAAATTGTCAAAAGTTGAATGCCTTTGGCTGAGAGAGAGAGTATCTTGGATCTGTGTCTGTTTATATAACAGTGAAAGCATTACTCGGTGATACTGTTGTGTGCTATTGATGTTATCACACTCTTAGTGTAACCTGCGCAGTCTATCCCACTTAGTCTTTGCAATAATCATTAACAGAATTATGAATCTCATAAGGCAAAATGCGGTGAGCATCTAGTATGGGAATCTTTCCATGTGCATACCATGCCTTCTCGGAAACGCAACTGTTACTGATAGACAAGTGTTCTTGTGTTTCTTTTTAATGGCCTTCGGTTTTGCATCTGTTTTAAGTTAGGTGGTTCATAATGCATTTCTGATTGTGGTTGTTTACAAGCTGCTTTCTCCGTTGCTTTCCCTGCAGGTGTTGCAGGGTGCTCAGCTGATAGCTGTTGCTTCTGCTGAGCCTGCGTCAGGGGGTGTTGATGGATCCCCGCTCCAAGGGAGTGATATCCAAGTCCAATATGTGCAGCTGACACCAGTGACAGACCACTCTGCGACTAATCAAGTATGTATATATATCTTTTTGCCATTTGAATGTACTTAACTTGATTGAAACATGTCAGATGAACTGTGTATCTGTCCACAAATACTGCAGTCCCAATGAGTTTATGATCCTGTTTCCAAACTGTAAAAAAAAAAAAAAAATCAGCTATAATAAGAAACATAATTTTGTTAAAGGTATAAATGGTCTCTGACTATTCCTGCTTCTATGTTCTTGCTCAGTGTCTCTAGAGAATAGTTATTTTGGTCATCATTGTTCTTCTGCATCCTTGAAGGCTGAGAGCCATGTTAAAGGACAGGGCAAAAAACTTGCTTGGAATCTATCCAAAAAGTATTTTTCAGACTGAGGTTTCTCTTAAAAATGTTAGTGCCTTTCTGACAGCAGTTTTCCAGTTATTTTCATCAACAGCCTGGATTTCCCACAGGAGTCGCGATGTTAGCAATTTTAAATAAACACTTGATCCTGTCAGTTACAATGGAGGCGTTATCTTTTTGGTGGTTTTTTTTTTTCCTTTTTAAATCAGTTTGAACAGTCATGTACCTGGGTCTAGGAAAGGTTTCTCATGAGCTTGAAGCTGTGACTGGTGACAACACAAGAACGTTGACTTAAAACGTTTGTCAGAAGTTTTTCTGAAGATGGTTACATATTTTTCCATGAACCCCACTGTAGTGGGCTGCTTTTCTAGAGAATGCCAAGTGGTTGTGAAAAATAAGCTGTTGCTTGCTAGCCAAAATAGAATGGTGTCCTTAGCAGCCAATATTAGAGCGGAGTTTTGTCTGATACATACCCAGTTTTGTAGAGAATTCTGGTCTGGTTACAAACATTTGGATATTGAGTCTCTTGAGACAAAAAAAATATTGCATAAGAAATCAAGGGAATAATCTTGTCCAAACTTGGCATGCGTAAAACTCAAGTGCTTAGTGCTTCTTCCGTGGGCAAGGCAATTTGCAGATCAGTTTGATATATGAAGTTAGAGCACATTAGTTATCCCAGTGGCAAAGAGGGCCTCAGGCAAAAGATGGAGCTGCATCGCATACCACCAAAGCACGATCTGCGCTGGCTGGTGCTGGTAGGGAGACCAGAGCTCTAAACTCTTAGTTGCCCCAGACCATGCTGGCTCCCCACCTGGATGCTACAAAGCGCTTTTCAGAAAAATTACGTTCCCTGCCAGAAAAGGTCAGACTGCCTGGCGTGCGAGTGTGCTGTGCTCTAAGATTACATTCTGCTTTTCTGTACACTGATCTTCCTGTGTAGATGAGCCCTTAATAGTTGTTTTTCCCTCTTTGCTAGATTTATCTCTGCACTAACCTTCTCAGTATTTTATTCATAGTCACTTGTAATAGTACACTGGACAATAAGAGTGTTGCTACAGGTATCGTGCCTTATTTCTTATAAATCCTCAAGTACTGCTGGTCCCATGCAATTAATAAAGCATATAGGCATCAGGTAGTGAGAGGTGTTTCTCAGGCTGCTGTCCTCGCTCTGAGCCTGGGAAATTCTCGAATTTACCTCCCCCAGGCTTCCTCTTAGGTCTGTCCTCCCTTCTCAGCTAGCACTGATGGGCAGGAGGTTCTGCAGTTCAGCTATAAACATCAGCATCCATCTCCCACACGACTGGCAGCCACCAGAGGAGTTGCTTTTCTCTTCAGGGACACTTTGCACCGTGTTAGGTTTTAGTATTGTGGTTAACCACAGAGATTTATACAAAGCTGAAGAGAAGCAGAAAAGGAATGCGAAATAAGAAGAGTATGAAAGGAAAAACAGACAAGACTAAAAATAAGTTTGCCATAAATATTTCCTCAGTTTACACAAACTAAAAACTAAGGATCTGTTAATGAATTGGAGAAACCAGCTTGGTATTTGCATTTCTCTGAGTTATATGGATAGTTCAGGAGCTTTTTTTGGCTAAAATTATGGAATAGTCCTCCATCATCTTAGAAGGATCTCTTTTCTGAAGGGAAAAGTCTTATCAGAAGGGAAAACCGTCTCAGTGAGGCTGTAGTGACACTTTCATCTGTTTTCCTATAGTTCTTTGTCAAGGTCCTGAGATGTTCTCAACAATTTTGTGTCTATTTATCAATCAAAGCTTATAAAAGTGGAGTTTATTATTGACCTGGCTTGGATGCTATGCCCTACACAAATTCTGTGGTTGAAACACCACAAGTGTGAATTTCTTTAATGTCTGAAAACAAGATACCGGTTTTCTGACCTTTTTTCTTGAAAGCCGTGCCTTTGGGAGCAATCACACATGCAAAGCTGAAGGTAGGAGTGAGGCTATGTGAAATGAACCCATTCTCTGGCTTCAGCTGAAGCAGACAGCAATATGCACTTCAACTTAGTATTTTCAATGTATTCATGCACGATCTTCTATTTGCAAATTAGCTGTAGGCAGAAGTGTTAATAGCTAGGATTCTGACAGTTGTGTAGTGACCCTAAACCACATATGTAAACACAAACTATTAATATATGAACAGTGTTTTGCTGGTATAAAATTGCAAATGCATGTACAGAGGGAGGCATGGTTTGAAATCAGATGCATTTTGGGGATTTAGGTTTAGTTGGCTTGTTTTTGTGTCTCGGTAGCATTCTTTCTTACAGCAGCTTGCAAAATTTAGCAATAGACTGTGATGATGATGAATATTTGGACTAATTCTATGCTCAAATTCATATGCTGGTGGTAAATTTTGTTAGATCTGGAAAAAACCATGATTCCAAATCTAAAGGGTGCTTCTAATCCCTTTGGGCAGTCGTCGTCTTCTGGTCTGAATGTTGGATAAATATTCAGTGTTGCTGTTGTCACTATTATTTGATAATTATATTACTTCAATACAGTGTTCCTCTAATGGGAAAGAAAACTTTGATGATCATTTGGAAACTTTCTATCGAATTTAGCAATCTGATGGGATTATTCACCACGTTGGCACTAATTTATTGAACAATTAAGTAAACACCAAATTACCTATGAAGTTGAACAGGAAAAAATCTTGTAGCTGTGTGCAGTTACTGACAACAAGGCAGAGAGATGAAGAGAAACAATTTGACAACAAAACCTTAATTTAGGAGGAATGTTTTATAATTTTGAACCTCCAGTATTTTCATTTGAATAAATAAGTTGCAACTGTGTAGTAAGACCTAAAGGATGGGAAATCTACTTGAGTTTCCACCCTTGTGTCTTTGTGGATCATATTGCAGATATTAGGCTGAGAATGTAAAGCAGGGCTTCAAGTACGACTTTTTCATAACAGAAGTACTGTCACAGAAATAATTCTATATCCAGGGTGTTACATAAAGTGTCTATTAGATGCATTTATGGAGGGAAAATCCGTCAAGGGCAGATTTCTGGGATCTGTGGGAGTGTACAGGAAAATATCATTAAATGCTTGCCCTTTTCTTGTAGTTTATCTATGCTTGTGATACTGGCTGCTGTCAGGGGAAGGCTTATTGGGTGTGATGGACTTTATCCAAGTCAATACAGCTGTTCTTAAATGCTATTCATCTTACAGCTCTAAAGATGGAGCTTGTTTCATAATCTAGTTCTCCTTACTCCAACAAACTTGCCTAAAAGGACAGTTTGCTACAGGATCATCCTTTCACAGCATTGTCAGACTACTGGTAGGCAGTAATTTAATTTTTAAGGAGACTTCCTTTGAAAGCTTAAGTCAATTGTGTTTACTTTAAATTCTTTCACAGAGGACTGTTTTTGCTTGGAAAGCGAGTAGAATCAGGCCTGTAGGAAGAATTTTATTTGAGAAAAAAATTCACTATAGTAGCACTAGTCTTATTTTACACAAAATAGAAAAAGACTGCAGTGGGTGAAGTCAGCAGTTTTAGACTGTATCCTGCACCAGCCGGGGAAATTCCAAGCACAGGGCAAACCGGTTATTTTGTTCTCCTTAATCTACAATAGTTCTGTCACTCCCAGACTTTGTACTGTCTTTTCTATGATCACCCTTGGTGGACTTTCCTTCTATAGCACTGTTTAGCCCTGCCTTGTACCCCCGAGCTGTCAGTACGTACGGCATGCTGGGACAAGTCCTTCCACAGCTTCGGCACATGTTCTGCCAGACACGGGTTTTATTTTGTTTCTTTTTAGAGCTGGTTCTTTTTTGGGAAGAGAGAGGAAATAATTGTTTTCTATTTGCTCTCTTCGTGCCACTCGTGATTTTATAGATCCTTATCATGATTTCATTCTTTTAGCCTTCTCCTTCCAGCCTGAAGAGCATTAGTCTACTTAGACTTCATGTGAACTCCTTATGTTATTTTTGGTGCCTTTGTAAATGTATTCCCATTTCAACTCTCTCACAGGGCTGATAGCCATACAGATTTTGCACTGGTATATACAAGAACTTTATATTAGTATAATATGTTCACATTCCCTTGGCTACGCCAATGGAAGGCACTTTTGTATTGATTTACTGATTTCATGTTTCCTTTTGCAGGGCACTGACGCCCTTCAATCAGCTATCCAGCCAGAAATGCAGATAGAACACGGAGCAATCCAAATTCAGTAAGAGAATTATGAAAAGCTGTGTCAACTGAGATGTCAGCGAACCACAGTCAGAAATTAAGTGCTGTAGTCTTCGTGCAACAACAGGAGAATGGAAATGCCTATTAGACTAACGGTCACACCTCGAACATCTCCTGCAAATAGCAGAGTTCTGATGATCTGGTTGTCCTCACCTGGAATAAATCAGACCCATTTACTTAAATTGGAGCTACATCACTGCATCAATTGAGTATCTGGCCTTCAGAAAAAATAAATGGCCAGCCCTTAGGTACACTTAAAGAGGAAAAAAAATCTTTCAGAAAGAGGGAAAGAAATCTAATGAATCAAAACCGTGAGACTAAATTAATGTTTCATCCCGTTCATTTCTTCTGTGAAATACGCCATTTGAATGTCTGCAGATATCTTAGGAAGTGTATTGCTGCTTTGCAATACTTGCTTTACCACATATAGAAGATCAAGAGCTCAAATATTTTTCACTGTTTAAACTGCTTTTTTTATTTGCTATGGTGTTTATAACAAAAATGGAAAATATTTAAAAAAAGAAAAAACCCATAACTGCAAGTATTAGCCTTTTGCTGGTGTTTTCTGTTCAGTGTAATGAAAACTGTATTTGCAGAAGACTAACAATTTTGTTTGTACTGTTGCTTATCTACTTTTCTAGGGGAAAATGCTTTTAAATGCTGTAATTATGCATTTCTAATGAAAAATAAATGTGTATTTATGAATAGTGCAGCTCTAAGTTGCTCTCTGCCTTAGGAATGAATACGGTTTGACTGGACTGTGCTGTAAGAGTGTAGTTCTGGAGTTTTTGAAGACAGATGCTATCTGGCAAGCCCTACTGTCAAACTCAGAAGTAAGATAAGTCTGTAAGGAAGATATAAATCTTAGATCATGTTGTTATCTAAATTTCCAGTGCAAGAAAAATGTGATAGTTAAGCTTTTGAGTCTGCGAATCCTATTTTATACAATGAATTTATGAAGTAATTTTTTAAAAATATGAACAATTCTTCTGAGCACTTTCCCTTTTAGTTCCTCCTACCTCCTTTGTGGCAATACCTCAGTTTGGGATTCATCCATAAAAAGCTGGGCTGCAAAAATCTGACGCCTATGTTGTTATTCACCCTGCAACAGCAATGTGAAATCCTCTTTCCACTGAAACTTATGGGCAATTTGATAACAGTTTAAAGAAAGCTACATTCTCATATTTGCTAAGCTTGAGTGGAAATGATACGTTTGCTGTAAACCTGATTATCTTAATGGTGCACGTTTTAGAAAGAGTGTCTTGCTATATGTTTATTGTCAATATCTGGCTCATAATGCATTTAATGTATTAATGAATGGGGCATAGGCACAAATTCTACATGGTTGAATTCAGGATAACTTTTTTTAATGAAAGGAAGAGTTAAGCACACCCAATTTCTGGGAATGTTGTCCCTGGTAAGTATTACACTTTATGTAAATTCCTACTTCTCTTTAGGATATTTCTTGACGCACAAGTACAATGCAAACTGAACCACAGCTTATTGAATACAATGTTTGCAACAGGCCAAGAATTTGGCTACTCTTCAGTTTCTTTTTTTAATAGTGTTTCTCAGACTGGGTGATGTTTGAAGAGCTTGGCATCGAAATAGAAGCCTAAAAATAAAGCAAGGCCTGTACATTTTAGCATGGCTGTTTAATAATAATTTATCGCTTGGAAATGACAGTGAGAAAGCTGGGATGGCAAAGCCACTGCGTGCTACTGCATACCACTCTCTTGCTATATTCATATTGGCCACAGCGGCTTTCCTGTTGTGTTAGAAAGTTTTACCCAGCTTTCCTTCTGCGTCCTGGGCATCTTCTGCTTTCAGTGGGACCACACGTGCATTTAAACTGTAGGTATCTGTCTTTGTTTCATGGTGCAATTAAGAATTCTGTTCTCTTTGCATTTTTCAGCTCAGGTACAAGATGAAATTGAGTTCAGGAGAGGTTTCCTTTAGCCACTAGACTGCTGCATGCTCAAGTCCCTTCTGCTAAATGTGATTGTAAAGGCGTGTCAAGCAGTGAAGTAGCATGCACTAGATTTCAAGAGAATGAAATCTACTTCACCAGTGTGGAATGGAGAGTGTACAAATCAATTGAAATAGGTAAGGAGAGCAGCGTAGTAAGATCCTCCAGTGCATTCAGATGTTAAGACTGCGTGTTCCTCAAGATGTGAATTTTTCTCAGTGTTATGTCAATGCTTACATTAGTCTAAGCTGTGTCATGCTATGTTTATACTTCAAAGAAAAAAGACTTCAACGTTGAGCCAGGTATTCCTATGAGTAATCCCTGTCCCTGTTCCCTTTCTGTAGATTTTATGTCATTGGAAGATTTATGTCCCTGTCCAGGGAGGAAATGTCTTCTCTTCAGGAATGCTTTATTTGTTTTCTAGATGTTACAGGGTGTGTCATGTACAAATAAGTCATTCCCTAGAAGAGTAATTCAGGAATGAATTCCTTTCTAGGAAATGCTTGTGACTGTGAAGAGTCTGTGAGGTTCTGTGCAAGTGTGAAGAGTATGTTCATACAGAGGTTATCATAAGAATAACATATCAACGTAACAGTAAGAAATCCTAGAAGTATTATAAGATAACTCAAGGAATGAAAATCTTGCAGGGGTACTGAGGGTTTTGCCTGGCGCTCTGTTCAGGTAGGTTAATGTTGTTTGATCACGGATGCAGTTCTGCCCTTGAAGACTGTTTGACCGTTTTCAGTGGATCACCTAGAGATGAGTTCTCGTTATATCTCCTTCTGTTATTCACAGCCTCTGCCTTTTGTAATAATAAGGTTCTTCTCCATCAACAAACCTTCTAACATCTTTATTTTTAACTGTTCTTTTTCTCCTCGTGCTGCTTTTGTCCAAGAGTCAGAGATTGAGAACACATGACCAAGAGTCTTCAGGGGGACATTTCTTGTGAGGTTAGACTAGGATCAGATGCATATTTTATTTGTAATTCATCTTGTGAGCTGCAGAATACTGTTTTCATGGCTTTGATTTTGTTTTGTGTAATAATTTTAGGCATGCAGGCTTTGGGGAAGGAGAGCCTCTGGTTCCCCTACCTGGCCCTATTGGTTATTTTCGGTATTAAGTTCACTATAGCCGGGACCTCACTATTTATCTTGATGTTGTACTAAAGCTCTTGACATGTAGTTATTGCTGCACAGGCAGTATGGTACCATTATAATGACCTTTTGGATCATTTAATTTTGAATCCCACCTGAAAGAGCATCCATCTCATGAATTCTTAAGGGCTTCTGTGGTCCTGATGTAAAAACTAATCAAAATGTTATGGTTTGATGGATTGTACAACTAGAAATTGGTCTAAAAAAAGGGAAGGATGTGGGTTATTTCTTTTCTGTTTTTCTTTCTTTCATTCCTTTTTTAAGGAAAACTCCAGTTTTACATATTTTGTCTTGCAAAACAAAACTATAAAAATGAGCACCCTTCTGTGACCCAAATATGGAATGCCTTCATTAGCTGCATTTTTAGGTTTTTCAGTATTGACAGTTTGCCTGTAAAGCAATGAATGCTGGCCAGAATGTTGCTCTAGTACCCGTCTCCTTCATGGAGATCCTGGCATGCGTACGGGTATGGTCTGATGGCCCTGTACTTTATTATCCACTTCACAGAATTGCTATGGAGTTTCATGTTAGAAAATACAGTGAGAAAACCAGTATCTATAACCTCCCCCCCGGCCCCCCCAAATCACTGTAGGATCTCACTCTGGGCGAACTTCTGTTGGCAATTAGTGTTCCTTCTGAATTCATAATTATCTAAGTACTGAAAATTTAGAGCCGTAACGATAATTCAACAAAAACTGTTTCCCATTATCAGAAGTAAGAATGCTCCTTTCATTCACTGCAATCCCAAAGCACTTCTATAAGCTCTGCTGATTTAGATGAGTACTCGACAGTCAAACCTCATTTCCTTGAATGAAGCCGGGAATAAGAAAGTCATTCAGTTAGAATGGTGTTTGTGGTAAACTGAGATTGCTTTTTTAATGCGCTGGTACAAACAGACATGCTTCGTTTTTCTGCTAAACAAGGGTTGACATACTTAGAGGTTGTTTTATACCCCTCAAAAATAGGAGTAACTAACTGTGCAGCAAGAGGAGTTGTGCAGAGCTGAAGTTAGAGCTGAAGTACATGGGACGCGATTGCCCACGTGGGGTTTGGCCAGGGCAAGGGGTTAACACTCCTCCTCTTTCAAAAGGTGCCAGGGGATTTTTAATCAAGTCTTGTTCTTTAGAGTGATAAATTGGATTGAACTGCATGAAAACCTATTTTTCCTCATCTACAGCTTCACATGCTCTTCAATTCAAGAGCAAATGTCTCCTTTGTTTGACTTTTTTGCCTTTTTTAAAACTTATGTGAATTCTACTTTTGAAAGTTTCCTATTCAATTTTTTAAAGTATACATTGTGCAAAGGAAAAATGTCCTTTAATGATATTTAATAAAATTTTATATTTTGGGCAGAATATTATATTCTTAGGATTTTGGTCAGCAGCATGGATATTTTTAATTGACCGGTACACTGGGAGAAGTTCTGTTCTTCCAGTCCCTCAGGTTAATCTGTGGTTTTGAACGTTGAAGTAAACTGTCCAGTTTCATCTCTGTCCATCAGCTTGGGTTAAGCATGAGTTAATATGTGTTATATAATCTTCCAGTAAATATTTTATTTCAGATTTTTTCATACTAGTTAAAGGAAACTTAATCTAGTTGTGAAACAGATCAACAAAAGCCTGGATGAAAAGCTGAGTTTAGCCTGACATCTCTCAATGCTACACTGTGATGCCAGCCAGCTGTAAGAACAGACTGTTCATTGTCCCTCACTATGCCACGATCTGGACATTTATGGTATTTGATTTGAAAATAATAGTTATCCCCATTTTCCACACTGTTTTTCTTAAAGAATCTTTGGGATTTCTGTTTCCAAGATGCACTGGGGTTGGTTTGTCAAACTGTTGAGTGCATCATATAAGGATCTGAGAATTGAAGCAAGTACACTGAAATCAAAGGGACTCCACGCTTTTGTTATTACCACAGGGAAAGCAAATCTCCTATATATATATTTAAAATAATTCAATTTTTAATGGATTAACTATATATTAAATTTACCATTGGCTTTCTAGGTAAAGCAGAAAAAAACCTGGGAGCTGGCCAGCAGCATTTGACTAGCTGAAAGGTGCACGTCAGCGTGCTTGGTGTGTGTCTGTGTGTGTGTGTATAGATATATATATATATTTATATATGGCTGTCTTGTTGCTTGAGTTTGCATGGTGTTGACTTACCTCCTCCTACTTTGGTCCTAGAGGTCATCTCTCCCCTCTTCTCACTTCCTTTTGATACATTTTTTACTCTCCTATTTCTATAGCATTTATTTTTAATCTTGTGAGAAACATAGATCCATTTTTCTGCTTTGATCTTACCAGAGGAGCTTGGCTGGCCACCTCTGATTAAAAAGAAATAAATAAGAAACCTTTGGTCTGCTGGATTCTGAATTGCATTTAACAGGAAAAAAACCAGTTACAGACATTACCTTGTGCACAGGGAAGAAGCTCTCTTACTTGGCTTATTTAACAGTTACAAAAATTGCCACAGTTAAAAATTATGTGTCTGCCACTAATTAGTAACATTTTCAATTTAGTAACCAGATTTTCCCCTGCTGTTCCCATGTGGTAGCAAAATTAAACCTTCTTTTGCAAGCACCCAGAATGCACGAGTAGGTGGTACTGTGAATTGCACTGAGAATTCTGCTAACTCCCAGTCTAGGTTAAACAGCAGCTAAACTTGTCCTTTGATGACTTTCCTCCCCAAAATGCCTGCTTCCACCTCCCTGGTGTCATAACCCTCTTAGGGTGGCCCTTCTCTAATAATCACAAATTGGTATGATTTAATCAGACACAAATGATGTGCTCTTTCTAAAGGAGAGTGGGCTCAGTTCTGCTTCCCATCCCAGCGTGTGTGAAACGCTGTGCTCTCTCGTTGGGGCCATCTGCCTTGCATAATTGCTGTTATTTAACAGCAATTTTATTACTCAATCCTACTTCAACTCTCTTAATCCCCCTGCTCTAATGGGCTCCGTGCTCTCTTCAGCAAAACCAGAGGAGAAATAAAAAACCCAAAATGTTCATAAAAGAGGAGGCGTGAGAAATCAAGGAAAAGATGAGAAACAGTTTGTTGATTTGTTTTGAATCCCTTCCTCCCTTTTCATTCATTCAGGTTGCCTTTTGCTCCTTTCTGCAGTTAAATGTGCAGCCCAGGGAGGTGGTTCGCACTGAGAAGTTCTTCATTTTCTGAAATAAAATAGTGACAAAATTATCCTACTTTTATCCAAGGAACAGCAGCTTTGGAGGTAGGCAGGGGCAAGGTGGAGGGTAGAAGTTTGGGTTTTTCTTTTGATTTTTTTTTTTTAATTCTGTTTATACCTTACTATGTTTTTAAATAGTTTGTAAGCATCTGGGGGGAATTACATCTGTTTTGGGTTCTGCCTGAAATTCCTTTGCGTTCTGTTAAATTGACCGTTATAATGAAACCAGGAGCTTCTCTGGTGTGTTGTCTCAGAATTAACCAAAAAAAAAAAAAAAAAAAGTGCATCTCCTTGCTTTCCACCTCTGACATTTTCCTACATTTTCATGGAAATTTTTTTGTGTGGCAAAAGGCTGAATGCACCTCAGGGTATAATTTATATTATATATAATAATGTAATGTATATAATATTTATATATAAAAGTATATAATATACACTATACATAATTAGCGTATAGAATTTTTCCTTTTTGTTTTACTTTTTATAAAAGGTGGAAAGTATTAATCTTTTCTGCCAGAAAATCAACTCTTGTAGGAATATTCCCATAAGAAACTGCGACCTCTGTGAATGTCTTTGCACGGATTGACATAGATTTCCAAGCCGATTTCTTTCTTTGAGTAAATGCAACACACTTGGCACTGATAAAGCTGCAGAGATAGTAAGTGGTTGAGGATTTTGAAGAAGGTTTTTTGTGTGTGGTTTTGCATTTATTTTGTCTTTACCTGTGTCTGATTCATGGTGTGGAGCTCTCTGTACTGTACAGAAATAAGCTTGACAGTGAAGTGTGTGCTTGGATTTGAGCTCCCTCCAGGCTTTTGGCTCTGAGTCCCTCTACATCTTTGCTGCTTTAATCAATGTGCAGACTTTGGCAAACGGAGGGTAAGATTTAAAAGCCCTTGATTGGAGTGTTGCTCTTGGGAAGAAAACACTGACTAGTGAAGAGCTCTTCAGTTTGGGAAGGGAAAGAATTGCAAGAACCATAAGCCAGTCAAATTCAGGTGGGAAATGAGGCAGAGCGTTTGACAATGTGTGTGAAGGAAGATTAATAACTGAACAAACTGTCGAGAGAGGTGGAGTCCTCATCCTTAGGTACTTTCTGCTCTTGTTTGGCTGCCACTGGCAGGACTATCACCAAACGCAGCCCCACAATTCGTGATGGTAACAGGAGTGTGCCTTGATCTACGGCAGCCTGGCACTCTGTGATAAGCGTGCAAGGGTTATCCTGTGGTTCCCACAGTCTGCGGTTTCACTGGTGTCACAACAATATATCCACGCAGGAAAGCCCATAGTAATTAAATCCATTCCCTGGACTCTCTCGGAGGATATTGCCTCTGTTCTCTCCTTACTCAGCACGTGCCGTAAAGCACAACTCAATAATGTATGAAATATCCTAAATTCAAAAGCCATAAGATTAAAACGTACAAATAAAAAGTATAAAAGATTGAGGGCTTTGCTGATGTCCTGGTTTCTTGCAGTGGCAGTCTCCCATGACATCAGAAATTCTTTTTGAGCCTTTCAGGTAACCAGCAGGACCCTGAGCCTTGAGATTCACGTGGTATTGATGGGGCACAACAGACAGTCAGCAAATGGTGAGCAGTTTCTCCTCCCGTTTTTGTTCAGTGCCAAGTAACTGTGCACACTAAACCCTCATGATACCGGCATCGGTTGGCGTTTTTGTTATGTCATGCAGTCCATAATTCATGAAGGTACCAATTTCTACCTTGAAACAATTTTTCTCGTGGCCATCACTGGCCTGCTTGGAAGCTCATTCTTCTCTGATGAGAATTTTTTCTTTTTCTCTGTTGATTAGAAATGTTGTGCTGTAGGTCTTGGGTGCTTATTTCTGTAGTTCATGGGTCTTTTCCCAGTCTTGTACTCTACGGTTTCAGCTTTAATCAACTGACAGTCCATTCTGTATCTCAAGCCCTTTTCCTACTTTCAGACTGCAGCTATGTGAAAGTGAGATTGGCACTAAAGCATCCAGAAACACTGTACCCATCACTAGTTTGTTACCCTTGATCTGGATTTACTAAAAAGGCTCAGCTGCCAATAGAATAAATTCCTAAA